TTTGCATTATGCGGGCCTCTCACTGTTGTGGCCCCTCCCGTTGCGGAGCACAGGCTCCGGACACGCAGGCTCAGCGGCCATGGCTCACGGGCCCAGCCGCTCCGCGGCGGCATGTGGGATCTTCCCGGACCGGGGCACGAACCTGTGTCCCCTGCATCGGCAGGCGGACTCTCAACCACTGCGCCACCAGGGAAGCCCCAGGGGCCCTAATTTTAAATACAAGTTCATGCAAGTCAAATGATGCCCTCATTAATTTGGAGGCCACTGGTTCAAAAGGTGGGATAATTTTAACAGTTCCTAGGGTGAAAGTAACCCTTGACTTAGCACATCTTTTCTTTAGAAACAGTGAAAATTAATAGTATAAACAAGTGTATAGAGGAAATATTTGAGAGAGTTTAACAATTTTTAAGTTCTTTAGAGCTATATGAAAATTATATACAAAGAACTAATACAATAATAAAAATTATCCATTCACTTTAAAAAACCTATTGCTGTCTATCAGGTAACTCTCTTTGAAGCCTCGTTTATAGTTGCTGTACATACTAGAAAAATATTAAAATAGTGTTTCTTGGAACACATCTATAGTTCAAACTTTTTCCATGTTATTCTGGCTTTGTGAAGTATTTTCATATGTACTTGGTGCTTGACTTCACATGATAATAGTGATACGATCTTTTAATCCAGAGGAAATAAGCACAGTACTTTTTTAACCAAAAATATGTATTTCCTTCTCTACTTGATTTTCTTGAAATCGTGGATCCTGTGTGATGAGCTGTCGTCTCTGCCTCTCAGGTACTACGCCGTAATGGTGACCATGTTCTTCACCGTCAGCGTGGTGAACAACTACGCCCTGAATCTCAACATCGCCATGCCGTTGCACATGATATTTAGATCTGTAAGTCTGCCGGCTCATGTGAACATGTTCCTCTGGAAAATGCAGCAAAGTGGGTCCATTAAACACATGGCAAAAGTAGAAAGGGCCTGTAAGGAGTAAAGTCTAGGGTATAAGAATCGGTCTCATGGATGAATAAGCAGAGGCTGGCTTTCATCTGAGAAGCAGGGCAAAAAAGAGAAATATGAAAGTGGATGGTTTACTTTTATTTATCAGAGGTCTTACAGGTGGTTAATAAAAGGAAAGTTAAAATTTCCCTGGATAACAGATTTTACCTTTAATTTTCTTCATCTGGTTGGTTTTATATTCATTCTTGCTATGAATGTTATTGAACTTATTTCTCATCACTCTTTGTTTCTTCCATGAAATTATGTTTACTTCTAGTACATGATATAGATACTTCTCTTTTCTGATTTTTTTTGGAAATAGAGACTTCAGATAATTACATAAAAGGAAATTCTTGATGAAGGTAGGGTTTCTCCCAAAGCAGCAGAGGTTTTCATCTTTGCCTCATGCATGGTGGGAGAGCTAGTTTGTATATAAATAAGAACAGACTGTTCCCAGAAGAACAGGAAAGAAACTCAAGAGGGAATACAGTTAGGATTGCAGAAGAATGCAAAATGGGTAAAAATTGGAATTATAACTTTTCTGTGTGGCCTGAGATTTTTGTGAGATGGGCTGTGCTGTCCCTAAAGCAACTTTCCAGAGCTGATTATAATGACTAAGATGACCTTCAGAGCATTGGTCACAGAATAGACTTTCAATAGACACTTGCTGATTGATTGACAACTTTCCAGACAAGAGACAGATCCCTGCACAACTTCATCCAGTCAAACTGTGGGCTAGGAGAAGCTTGTTAAAGGCTCCTATAAATCAGATGGGAAATTTGACAAAAATAAGTCCATAACATACTTCATTCCTGC